ACATTTTAGCAAATGTGCCGTTTAAAACATAGCTATAAAGGCCTTTATAAATATTGTATGTGGTTTAAAAAAAGACATACGTCTAAAAGCAGAGCTCTTATTTTGAAAGTCTTCAAAGGGAGGACGTCATTAATTGACGCAGAGAGTCTCGCAGGAGGTTCTGAAACACTACAAGCAGCGCTCCACTACCAGACCTGCTCCGGCGGGTGACAGAACCGAGTCTGTGCGAGGACGTACTTTGGTACCGAGTTWCAGGAGGACGTCTCCAGGCTAAAGAGGAAAAAATGGACACAGAAGGCAGAAGAAGAACAGCAACTTAAAATATGCTTTACAAAATTAGAGAAAGCCCGAACAGTTTTAGTCACTTGCAGCTGAATATGTGGGTCAGCTGCGGCGAACTTCGGACTCAGTAACTTTGTTTTGGTCACTTCAGCTGCGGATTTCTCGAACAATAATAGGTTTTTATTCTGACAGGACGTGAACATGTTAGCAGTAAGTAATTCACCCACACAGTTCTGTAAAAAAAACAACAGAAACATCCCAAATTGTGTTGAGGAGTGAAGTTGCGGGATATGTTTGAGTTGCTTTCATTGGAGAAGTGCACGTTCCGGATTCTGGTGATTCGGTTGGTTTGAATGAAACGAGGAGCGCTCACGTGGGAAACTCCTGATAACAAAGAGGGTCACTGGGATGTAATCCGTGATGGAGCTTCAGCAGGTTCTGACTCTCCTCTCAGCTCTGCCGTGAAGAAGAAATCACCGCACAGTCAGCCCGGAAGCGGCTCGTGTCTGGTACAAACTTAGAATAAAAGCTGGTCACCGCGTGGGACTGAAGTACAAAAKAGCGACGGCTGGTTCCCCCCTGCAAACCCATCATCATGGTCTCCACCTCACGAGACACCTGGATGCTCTGGAGACGGACCGTGCTCGCGCTGTGGCTGTGCGCGGTCTGGGCGCGAGGAGCGGAGCAYGAGAGCGGCTTTAACGCCGAGGTAAAGACCTTCCTGCACCATGATACTCTCCTCACAGGCAGTGCTTCCCAAAGCTCGGGTCAGACCCACACTTGGGGTCATGAATACCAAACGTGGGGTCTTGGGAAAATCTATAGAAAATCAAATAAATGAAAGTGGTCATCAAAAATAACATTTAACCTCAATTAGGCTATTACAAAACCTAAATAAACAATGATCCTAAATGCATAAAAACTACTTTGTGTTTGTCAAAGTTCTTTAACGTATGGATCTTTAAAGCGAAGCATGTGCAATCTAAATCTTCACCTTCTGACCCAGAAGTTGCAGAGACTTGTGAGCCCAATGCTTGCTGAAGTACAAAAACATTGTTTAATAAGCTGAATAATCAAGGCTTTACAGTTTTAATAACATTTGTCCTTTTTTAGAAATCCATTTATGAAAACTTTTGTCTCTTGCAATATTAATGATAAAAAATGTATTATCTACAAACATTCTGTACATCCACCCGTTTTCTTTAAAATAACTACAAAAAAGTACACTGCTTCATTCACACATCGTACTCCAAAATAATTGTGTTGTACATAAAAGTGTGTGCAAATTAGCAGGAAGACTCAAGATCAGAGTCAAATGCATGATTGTTGCTACACAACACTTTTTATGTGTTAACTCTTCTGGTAAGTGATATAACCTTATTTTAGAAGATAATAAACATTCTTAAAAGCCATCAATATTAACTGAAGTGAAACTTTCAAAGATAACGGCCTACCAAAAGCCAAGCCTTGATACTAATGATTAGTGTGATTTTTCCAATGCTTGAGGTACAGCATTTTTGTTATTGTATGCAAAGTTTGTTGACTGGGAATGCTAAAAAAGGAGGTTTACCCACAGCAGTATCAAATAAGTGTATTATGCATGTCTTTTTTCATAGGATTTTCTAGCTTTTAATAAACGTCTATTTTAAGTAATGCACTGTCCTGTTGGATGCTTACTGTCTCCAAGACTTCAGCCTGATTGATAACTCCACTACGCTTTCCATGACCATTGAAACCCTAATAGAACAGGACTGGATCCCAGTAAATTTAGAAAATCAATCAATCAATCAATCAATCAATCAATCAATCAATATCAATCAATCAATCAATCAATCAATCAATCAATCAATCAATCAATCAATCAATCAATCATTAAGTGTATACTAGGGCCCCAACAGATTTAACCAATATCTCCAACGATGCTTAATATGTTTTTTCCCCCTCAGAGACAGTGTTCTCTAAATCTGATCCAAATACAGGTTAATTTGGATGTTCATGTTGAATAGTAAAGCATCATGYTGGGACTTGAACCAGCACCTCCTGCATTGTTGGTCCAACAATTATCCTTCTCTCTGGCTCGTTTTAAAACACAAAAACAAAGGTAATAGCCGACAGCATACCTGTAAGGTGATTAGTGGTGGAGATGATGCTAGCTGTTTGACAGATGCATTGAGACAGGCTGACAGAGAAACATCCGGGTCATTAGAGGTGAGTGTGCGTGACACCCTCAGTGACCCGAGGCTCGGACTGTCAGTCGGGTTACAACATTCTCTGTTTAGCTATCAACACGGCAGTGTGTGTGTTAATGTGTTTCCCTGAGACAGAAGACAAAAGGCTTTCGCAGTGTGTGGACAGATGAGAAATGTCCAAATACCTGTGACTAAATGTTGAGCCATGTGTGTCAGCTGAGGTGATAACAAGTTTGAGCCATACTGTGTTTAAAACAACCCAGAAAGCTTTAGAATACGGGTATAAGTACCATGTTCTTATGAACATTTATTTCTTGTTTTTTTTAGCATTTTATAGTTGGTGTGTGGGTCTTTAGTATATTTTCATGTTGTAATTTGAAAGAGCTCTAAAACATTCAGTAGGATACTACAGGTTAGTCAACTCTATGATGCACATGTTCAAAGAGGAGCAACAACAAAAGTTAGGTAGCCTCTACTTTAGCAATGTAAACAATTTTAATAGTTCTAACATTATTTTTTTCAACATGTATCTATAAAGGACATACACATTCATTTACATCACTCATAAGTCCCTATTGAACCAAGAGAGTGCCTACTGTGAAGCAAGAGCTAAAAAAAGTCCTAAATGTTCAGCATGAGAACTGTGAAGAACAGCAGTAGTGCTACCTGTAGAAAATACAAATAAAGAGCAATCTTGTAAGGACTGTGAAGTGGTCTCCTGTGGTCCGACAGCACCTAAAGACCATTACTGAGGATAGATACATCCATTACCTGGCTCAAGTACTCTATAGTCTCTGGAATTTTTGTCCCTAGCTTTCATTGACAGCAATGCTAACAACAACATCAAATATTATAATTTTGTCAGCTTTTTATTGATGCACTAAAAGTTCATTGACTGCATTTGGCAYCTTCTGCTTCTCTTTATTTGTCATGTAGCCAAACATTACAACTTTCCCCATTCAAGCAGCACCTGAACATCATTAAAAAAGTATTAAATATTTCACAGAACTGGAACATAATTGGCTACCCCTGAAACATTACCACGGGACTTTTTCTGATTTTTGACGTCGTGYTTTTTTGTTTTGTTTTTATCAAATAGGAAAAACTTGATTTTCCAAAACAATAAAAACATCATTTAAAATAAAGCTAGTTAACAAAACATAATAGTGGTCAGTTGTGTTACAGCTACAAAAAAACAAAACAAAAAAAAAAACAGTATGCACTTTATTCACAAATTAAATGATGTGGTCTGGAGGTCTAGTCATTCCTCAGTACACGTTCTGGYCTGTAATCTCCACTCCTACTCTGTCTGGACTGAAAGGATGAAGTGGGAGGTTTAAAAAGTGGAGGGAACAGAAGGGTTATTCAAGTGTATCTGACCAGAATCTCAGATGTCTCCRTTAAAGAGGGGAAACAGTCACAGAAAATGCACAATGTGACTTGTAATAAACTAAATTAAGGAAAGGATGTAGCTCTACAAACGGACTGGGACGGTGTCGGTCAACCTCAGCTGTGCAGCATGTGACGAGTAAATGTGACAGTTGTTCTCTAACTTGGCTGTTCATGGCGGACTTGGRCTTGCTGTGCCTGGGACTCCAGAGCATCTGAGGAAATACAATAGAGCCTCTTGTCTGAAAAGGGAGGAGCCGTGAGAGAACTRGGACAAGAGAGCATAGAGATAGAAGCATAGAAATGATAAATAGATGGATGGAGTCGTAAGTAAAACRGTCTGTTTTTAAAGTAAAATGATTGTAATGAAGAATGGGGTAAAATGGTGACAATGCTGCTCTGGACAACTTAATCAGTCTGTGTTCTCTTTGTATCCATGCAATGTAGAACACGGCCTCTCCTTACATTCCAGCCACACCCCCACTACTGTAATATGATTGGCTGTCACTATGTCCCCAAAGGATCGTATTGCTGCAGGCAGCGATGGGATTAGACAGGAGAATGGGAACTTTTGCTCACTATGTATTAAGGGAGACATACTATGACCTCCTCTGGGTGTGTTTTCTTTGAGACCCATCATACAGATGAGCCACCCCTAAAATTCTTTAGTAGAAAATAGTGTAGCTAAACACACATACTGTCAAACATCTTAAAATTAGGTACATTTCCCTTGTCTGCAGTTCAGTCATTGATTGTTGTTCATTAATTGCTGTACCCATGGTCACCTGATTGTACTGTAAAGGGAGCAGATGCAGAAGATGTGATACATCACAATGACTAATTAACTTAGAATATRAGAAGCACTTAATAAGGCATGCATATTTCCATTCTAAGCTGGTACTGTGACATAATGGTATTCAGCACATCTAAATTACTTACTGAATACRATATTTTGAGATCTAGCAATCTAAAACAAATTACCAAAGTTGTGTTGAGTCAGGACTGACTTCAGACATTTAAATTTATTTTTCAAACACAGGTAATCTGAATACTTTAGTGAATTTCATTTGACTTGACTGCTATTGTCATGGGGAAGAAGCTTTGTAGTAACAAATCAGCACGGTCGTYTTGCACAGTAGGTCATAAAACCTCGAACTAGTTTAATGAATGCTGCTACCTGTAGGCTGTGTCCATAAATAATATGTTCCTTTTTTCATTATGCTAGATTTTAATATTCTTAACACAAATTTCCTTGGGATATTAAGATATCGTTTTGAGGCTATATCAGTCATTCCTACTTGTGCAATAAAATGCAAAAAGAAACACAAGCAGACTTTTGTGAAGTTGGAGGATTTTTACTTTCAAAAGTTTCAGTGTCAATTTGCTGATGGTTTATAAATTACGTGTCTAATTATTCCATTTCATAGATTTGTTTTGCATTCACAATTGGCAGCATTTCGGATCTCTAAGACTTTGTCAGAGGAACTTGGGAAAAATCTTTAAATTGAACGAACGAAATGGTTTTCTTCCTCTATCTGCCTGCCTCTCGTTCTTTTTCACAGCTTCATTTACTGATCCGTCCTCTCAGCAAGACTTTCATAGCTGAGACATGGCAGCAGACCAAGCCTTGAAATAAAAGGTCTGTTAGTATCTTGGCTGACTTTGTGGTGGAAACACACACACGCACGCGCGCGCGCGCACGCGCGCACACATTGATGCACACAATCCCACCCTGGCAAGTTTTACAACTCCTTGTATATTGCTGGCTCTGGTTTTGGCAGGTAAGCTCAAGGACTCTTTGAAAGACCATTTAATAGACGAGGCCTAGTGTGCATGCACACACACAAACACACACACAAGGCATCATGTTTTGTATTCAGACCGATGATGGAAGGTGAGCAGCTCGACTGAAGTTATTTATTATTTCAAATGGGGCGATGTGTGTGTGTGTGTGTGTGTGTGTGTGTGTGTGTGTGTGTGT